GGTCTAAATCCCTCTATCTCTAATTATATTGGCTGTTCAACCTAAATATATATCAACTCTACACTTGCAAGTTTATAGGACTTTTACCTGTGTCTCTACACTTAAGGATGTGTCATCACTTTCTTTACTAACTCTCTGTTGTCAAGAGCATAAGCGTTTGATTCAACCCTGAATTCGTCTGACTCCTACAACATTCTCCCGCCTTGTAAATCTGCTTGCTGTCACCTCTGAACAGCCAACATTTAAGACTTTCTAGCATATTTTTCTAGAAACTCCAGTTGATGATTTATCTCTCTCAGTCTACTGAAATCTAAACTTTTAACCCATCCAAAGTGAGATGGCTACGTTTTGAAAATACAGCCTTGTATTTTCAACCCCACCTTGAATCTGTTTACTGAGTTTCTGCTTGTGTCAGCATAGTTCCCTTCCAAAAATCTCCCATAAGCTTTTGCTACATCATCTAAGCACAAGATGTCTGTGGGCAAAAAGAATGTGGAAGTGCATTCCCAAAATGGTATTACTCGCTGGGCAAGGATGAGGATCTGAGAATGGAAATATTCTCCATTCTTATTCTGAGTCCTTCTCTCACAACAAATAGTGGGTTGCTGAGTTTTTTCCTGGTTCTGTAGAACAGCCACATCTGGATGCTCTAACTTGATCTCCTTTTCCCAGTGTGCATTAGACTGTCTTCTTCCCACCTCTGATTACATAGCTCAGATGCATGCATTGTACATAGGATAAGATTGGGAAAATCATACTTCCTGGCATCCTTTCCATGATTTGCTTGTCTTTAGCCCTATTTTCCTGTTTTCTTTTTACCATTTCAGGATATGTGTTGCCTTTTATGAACAGTACACAGGGTACACTTTGAGAGGAAAAGCTCTATATAAGCCATGTCAGATTTTTTTATTTTTCATGTGGAAAAAAAAATGGAGACTCTCTCCTCAGAATTCATAAAATGCACATTTATTTATCCAAAAGCCTGCAGAGGGTCATTCCTGTCTCTTGAGTAAATATAGGCATCATTCTTAAAAAAAGAAGAAAGTATTATTGACTTGAATGATTAGAAAAAACAGTTTCAAAATCAGTTTAGCTGCTAAAGTAGATAAGTACTTAAATGGCCAGAAGCAAAAAAAAAAAGGAAAACAAAAACCGATCAAGCACAACTTATCTTACATCCTTAAAATGAGTGTGTAAGTATTAGAAACCAAACTTTGGCGAAGATCTACTAAATAATAATGATATATGTATGTAAATAAATACTATATTACAGGCAAATTTCAAAATAAGGCCATATTCAAGAGCATAAAGCAACACCAGAAGTGATCATTGTCTTTTGGGTGTATCTCAGTATAGAAGTTGAAAACCATGTGCCAATTTTTGCATAAATGGAGGAGTGGAGGAGCATCTTCATTCCTCCAATTATTTTCAGTTTTCAAATGAGAAATTTTATATTCTTCTTGTACAACAGGCTCTCATAAAGCCAGGCACCATTTGTGTAGGACCCGCAACATAGCATTATTACCACACTTTTCAGCAGTGAAGAGGCTGATTTCCCATACTCTGTTCAAGCAGCTTTGAGGCAGAATATATCTGGGGCTATGAAGTTTAGCATTCTAGTTCCCTTTAAGTCTGATGCTTGTAAATGAAGTCATTTACTTTTTGAGAATTTTCTTTTCTTTATTTCATCATCGCATAGTTTAAAAGTGAGATAATCTGTATCGTGAATATTCTTGCCTGTGTCAGTACATAGGTGATGATAATAATGTAAATGCTTCTGCTTCTTATAGTTCAGCTGTAATTTTAGAACATAATTTTATGTGACTCTTTGGGAATATCTGTTAGAAAAGGCAGCACTACACAGTCATTTGTAGGACTTGAGACTGCACTATAGTAGATGTTGTCCATGCATACCCCTAAAAGGACAGGATAAACCCGAAATAATTGACATTGTTAAGATTCCATAGAAATAGCACGGTTACTGGCAACATACAACACCCCTCATTTTGTGTATAGTCTTATTTCATGCATCTGCACTACATTATATCTTAGAAACATGACCTTTTGCCGTAACTGTTGTAACATCATCAGTGGTTTGCATTTTAAGTAGTCTGGAAAAATCTATACAGTACTGTTACACTAAAAACATGTATCTGCCACATAGATGAAGGTTGGAACAGGCAGGAAAACATCAGAGTCCTGGGGAACCTTGAGATGTGATAGCAAGCAGATAGCAATAATATCCAGCTTGTAATTAGCTGTGTTTTGGGCCGATGCTGCCTTTTTTTCCAGTCCTGGGCACCTTCGTTTACAAACCAAGCAGAGAGACATGTCTTCATATAGTTTATATGCCTGAACTTTTCCTTTGTTTATTAATACTTTTGTTTAGCCATCTTGACCTTCCAGCTGAAAATCAAGTTTTTACCATCATCAGTGAAATTTCCAAGAGTAGAACAAGGGTATGAAAAGGATCTGTGGATAAAGGTGTCAATTTATGTTTGCAAACTTATTGTGAGATTGTTACCTCTATTATGTCTCTTTGTTCAACTTATGTTGTTATTTGAGCCCTAAAAAGGCCAAAGATCATCAACCAAAGTGCATGTAGAGTAAAGCTGCTCCTGTAAAATTGATGATCCGTCCAATTATTTATCTATAGAGGCTGCTGGGAAGAAATGCAACTATCTCAGTTCTCAGACCCTTCTGCTAGTTTGAACTTCATGGCTGAAGGTTTAATCCCTAAGTGTCATATCAACAATTCATTCTGTGATATTCTGGCTGACATGCTCTCCTTCCTTATTTATTGATGTCTTCAGTCATCAACAATGAGAGGAAAATACACTATTCGTCAAAGTGACGGTGTTTTACCCTCACTTACAGTTGGTGCTGCTGTCACATTGATGGTTGGAAAATAAACTCAATCATTATAAAAAGCTAAGAGTGTGAACTTACCAGTGACAGGAAGAAGATGAAAAAAAAACCCTACAGTAACTTGCCTAAAATTGGTGTAATAAAAATAGGGCTGTTTCCTGTAAAGTTATTTTGAGCTTTGTTTGTGAAATACCAAACCGTTTTAGCAATTTACTTTACGTTTCTTCCTTTGAAGGCAAATCAACTCCTTGTACTCTTTTATGTCTGTACACAAACATGTGCAGTTTTTAGAAATAAATATTTTTCATTATTCCACCTCGCGTTACGTGGTTAGTAATTTGCAGATTTTTTTCCCTCTATTTTTAAGGATTTTGAGGTTGGTTTTTTTCTCCCCAAATTACATTAAGTGCATATATCTCTTTGCGTATTCCAGTATTATAAGTGCTTTGATGAAAAATAAGCTTAGTATAGTTTCATCCAGTAAGTCTTTTAACATGTGAACATACACAAAGCTCTGTCTCGAATCACTTTTAGTCTACCATTTGTACTGCACCTTACAGCTTTTTAAACTCAGTAACCACATATCTTACCACATTTCACCTTTGGGAGGCATTGTATATACAGCTAAAAGTAAAGAGCAGCAAGCCAAGAGGGACAAGATAGCATAATGAGGATGTCAATTTGTGGTCAGATATCTGAGAAAATATTTATCTTACTTGTACTGTACTTGGCAACAGATAGAGAAATATATATGTAATGAATTTCCTTAGACCTTATCTGGCAGAATGTATACCTTATGTTAAATGAATTTAGGGAAAAAAAAAATTGCTTGTCTCAAATTTTAAAAGTTTGATGTGAATCTGATTTGGATTATATCCTAAAAATGAATCACTTCTATTAAAAAGAAATAGTCATGTTTGGGCTAGTAATATATTGGTAATTTTTTACTGATTTATTTGCTTGCAGTTATTTAAATAATAACATTTCAAGATCCTATTCATTCACCAGAATGAAAACAAGGCATTACTTCTGTTTTTTCTGTGAAAAAACAATCACATTTTTTATAGTTTGCTCTGGTTTTCGTACATTTCTCTGGCAATCTAGCTAAGTAGCCTAACAGTGCACAGAAATGCCTGGTTGTCTCACACTAGCTGTGTGTCCTGCGGTAAGCCACAGCTGCTTCAGCTGCCTGCGTCTGATTCCCCGTCTGTAAAATGGGAAAGTTATAACTTATTTTTCTCCCTCAGGAAATATGGGGAGGATTGCTTAATGTTTCTATAGAGCTTTGAATATGAAAATCTCTTCTCTATGTTTGCTGCCATTATTTCAGTTTAAGAGGAGCATCTGACTAAAGGCGTTTAAAGAGGAAAGTTTTGGCATCTTGTGTTCTTTGTACCATGTCTTGAGGCCTGGATTCCTCTCTCCGTTACAATTTTGCAATCTTTGGTTCCGTGTAAGCTATAGAAGCAAACAACCAGTATACAAACAAAAGGCGATGCCAATAGATTAGTGTATATGTATATAATTAAATACATCAGGAGATCCATTACGGTGCACCTCCAAGCTTGCCAGAAGTAGCGAATGGTGGAGCAAAATAGACTCCGGTTAACTGCCTTTGCCTGAGATGGCTGGGTTATTTTAAACATCAATAATTAAAGCTGAGAAGCACAGAGAAATATTTTCCTCTAATAAGACTTTTCAGTGTCTTCAGAAGTGTAAGTATTACTAGTGTTTTAGTGAAAGCTTCCTGGCTTCCTTTCTAAGACAAGGAGTGGGCTTAAATAGTGTATGGGAAGTATTCACACCCAGCACTTAGAGCAAGTTTGAAAGACTTCTTGCCTTTGTTTCATAGACCAAAGGTTAGCATCAGTTCCCAGGGTCTAGGCAACTTCAGTGGATTGCAAGAGGACAGCCTCTGGTTTGACTGCTACTTCTTCGGTTTTATGTTGCTTGGCAGACTTAAAATTTAGTATAATGATGTCTTCCTCCTTGCAGTTAGGAGGAGTGATTAGGCTATTATGTGTATTAAATGCAGTTGTTCTTTAGCTGTGTTACAATCTAACCTGGCATTTTGAGGCCTTACAGTCGCAAGCTATATTTTTCATGATTTACATTTTGATTTTTTAATGCAGAACAGATTGGACAGGAGATGCTGGAAAACCTCAGCCATGACAGAGAGAAGATCCAGCGTGCTCGGGAAAGGGTAAGTTTGATAATAAATAATTGCTGGTCTAGGATTTTATTTGCTTTGGGCAAGTTTGCCCTGCATGCAGAAATTATCCAGCATATTGATTAGAGTTTTAAATAAATCGGCTGTTGTCATGATTGCCATCTGCAGTGATGCAGTTAAAGAGTGTCTCATATGGGCCCAATCCTGCAGAGCTTCTCTCACAGCTAGTCATACTGAAGTCAACAAACCCACTGTTGGAAGCAAGCTCTCTGTTTCCAGTGTCACAGCCAAATCTGCTTTTTGCCCTTTGAAGGATTTTCTATAGTGTCTGTTGCAATAACTTCTTGGACTTTCCATAAAACAAAGTTCAATGCTGTAATTTAACTTTAAATAATTGATCAACCCCACTCTTCGTAGCTGCAAAGAAAATTAGCTGCTAATAATTGCCTCCTTAGGATGTATGCCATGGTTTGGAATGAGAAAAATTCAGGAAGAAAAAAATAGTATCAAGTGATAGCTTTGGTCTTGCTGTTTTTAAAGGCAATGTTGAAACTCCCACTAGCTTAATGGAAGGAAGTTTGGGGCTGAAGTTATAAAAATATGCATGTTAAATCCAATGTATAATTTATGGCTTTAAATATGCGTGGATTACCTGAGTCAGGAAAAACCTGGGGACAGTGTGGGGCATGGTCAGATAACGGCATTCCAGAACATTGGAGGGGTGCATGTGTGGCACCATCCTTCCCAGACAGTTCAGAACGGGGATTCTTGTCCTTAGGACGAGTCTGTAACATTAGGAAGCAGTATTAATCTCATGCACGGAAACAGCTTTCTCTGCTGCTGAGATATTAAGTTGCCACCTTTTTTCAGTTTTCTTGCTTCTTAAATGAAGTGGTTATCCCGTCCCCTTGTAAATGTCTCTGAGATCTACCTGTGAAAATTTTTATTTTTATAAAAAATAATGAGAAATTCATTATTAGGAAAAAAATATTTAACTTGCTAGCCATCATCACTGCCCTATTTTACAGGTTGGATAACAGCTTTCTCTACACAAAGCAAGGCAATCAAGGACTTTTTTGACCACAGAAATGTGCAAGACTGCTGGCTGTCCCATGTCCCACACTGTGAAGTGTAGAGTTTCTTGCTATTATTTCCGTCTCTCCTGAAGTTTGTTTTGATGACAAAAGGAGAGTAGGAAAGGAGTTGTGGATAAAGATAAGAGCAGGATCTGGAGGAAAGAAAGGAAGCTACAGCATAGTGAGACAACAGTCTTGAGAGTAAGATCTGCTTGGGGAGCCTTCTACTGCTCAGTTGTCCACAACTAACCAAAAGGAGCAGAGGTTTCAAGACAGCGTCCACAAAATACATCTCTGTGCTGAAACCATTTGGGAGTTTGAGCCTCCAAACACTTCCAGCAAACCAGAGGAGAAGTTCTTTAATCATGTTCACTCTACTGGAGTGAGGAGCTTTCCTATTTTATGGGTAAAGCCACCATTTCTTTCTGTGTGGAATAACAAGTGGTAGTTTTTTATGCTGCTGCTCTATGAATGCAGGCAAGATACGGTATCTATGTAATTTTTGCTTCATGTTGCCTCCATGGAGATCTTCTTTACTCTACAGAACTTAATCAAGATGCCCTGTAGCCCATCCCTCCCACTCATACAACTTCTCTGCACTTTGGTCTAAGAGATTTGCCTCTTCCGTTCTGATTTCTGCTCACAGGATTTCAGGAAGGCCTTACCAATGCTACTAACTGCCTAGAACCAGGAGTGACTCTATCTGTGATATTTTCTCCAGGACACACTGAACAGATACTTTATTTAGTGTCCAGTTTTGCCAAAGCTAAATCATCTTACAGACTTGTAGTTGACCACTACCACTTAAAAAAACCCTCCTATTTCTGTCTCAGGAAGTTTCTCTGTCTGAATTTCTTTGACTGGTAAAGCCTCATATGACAGCTTTAATGAGGCATTTTCTGTCAGAAGATCTGATCTATACCAGTTGCTTTCTCACATCCTGGCATTAGCTGCTTTAAATCATTAAATATAGCTAAATCATTAAATATAGCTAAGGGATGTGAGTAAGTGTTATTCAGGCAACTTTACAAGTGTCTGTTTCATTTGCCCCCCCACCCCCACCATCACATCCCTAATGACTGCTAAGTCTGAGATGCTTTTCTGTTTCTATCTGGTCGAGTAAACCCCAGGCAACGGAGGTGAATAACTTGTATTCCTTTCTGCCAAAATCCTCAGGAAAGTTTGAGAAAGAGGAGTATAGTTCTGATGACTCTGTCAGCCTACAGTTCTTAGTATAACCTTTCCTTTTTCTGTGCCTTCTACCTGCACAGTCAATTTTTTCTATGGCAAGACCTTTAAGCTACAAGGAGCAGTATTAAAAATAAGTGTTTTCTAGGGAAATGTATCCAATACAATTCATAGAAAGACCTCTTGTCGTAAGTGGAAGGTCTCAAATTCCAACTTTTTACCTTGTGCCACTTAAGATTTTATGTTTGGAAGATTCAGAAAAGTTCTTCATTGGAGCTACGTGAGTGGACCTGTCCAAGCTGTACGTGGACCCGTGCAAGCTCACATGTACAGTCAGAGATGACCTTGGATAACTTTTTTTTTTTAAAGCCCAGGACTGAGGTGTTCCATCAGCACATTGTGTCTGTACACTTAATACGTGGAGGCATTGTGTTACCAACCAGGGAACAAACTTTTAGAAGTTCTATCTTGTGAAAATTAGAGAGATTTTCTTATGAGGTAAATTTACTTGAATTAGGTGTCTGTGTAGTTTTGTTAAATGTTAAATATGGTTTTTCCTGTCTGCAGAGTAAAATGTGAAAGAAGAAAAATGCAAGACATAACCAGTAGTATTTGGAATGAATGTAAGGAGATGTGTAGTGCAATTTACATGGGTGGTAACATCCATGAACAGGAATTCCTAACTATTAAAAAAAAAATCAGAAGGGGTAGAGGCTTTGCTACAAGAATCAGATAGGTTAACTAGATTATACAGGATTCTAAAAGAGGCAACGTTTTTGAGTAAAACCTTAAATTAAAATGTGAGGCGGACAAGATGTCAGCATCAGCTTCTTTTCCATCTTTCTTCCTTTCTCAATATTGCTTTTTGAAAAATAGCTTTTTTGCAAACTGTGTAGATTTGTCTTTGGTAATGTCAAAGCATCTTCCAAAAGGTTTTCACAACAGCATTTCTGTGAAATGAGTGCCAAGGAGTCTACCATTTAATAGGTTAGCATGCCACGAACTCTTCAGCTTATTATTGCAGAGCTGTGGTATTGGTAAAGAAATGATAGATGAGCTTTCACTAAATATTTAATTTTTAAATAAAACCAAACTTGCAATCTGAAAATTTTAGTTGTTTTTCTGCCAGTGCAGAAAGAAAAGGTTAGGGTTTTTTAGCACTCTCTGGAGTTGCAGCAGGATATTTTCCAAGTTTGTGTGTATGTGTTTGTTTTTTTAACCTTTCTTTTTCCCCCCCCCCCCTTTTTTTACCATAGAAATATCAGATCTTCTTGCTTAGAGGACTTCGTGAATCCTTAAGGTGCAACTTCCCATTCCTAACTATCAGTACTGATTCTAGCTGTCAGGTAGAATCCTGCAGCAACAAGAGGAAAGTTAGGATCAAACATACAATGGTAAAAAGGAGAGAGCTACTTTTCTGTGAAAAGGGAGGAGAAGCCTCAAGTGTTAAATGCATCTTTATGAATAATAAAAGACCAATGTAAAGCATGCATTTTTACTTCAGATTCCCTTCTAGCATGAATAAGAACTTGATTTATTAATGAGCCTTTTAAAAATTATTATTATGACACTTTTTTTTTCTGTTACTTGTGTCAAACTGGGCTAAACTGCTTTTCTGGAGCTTGAATTGCCTAGATGAACCAGGAGAAAAACAGAATGGCCCTCCCCGGCATGCAGTGCTCATCTTTATCCCATCCTGGTACATAATTGTAGAGGTCTGAGAGTCAGTGCAAACCTTTCCACTGAATACGGACGGTATTGCTAAAAGCAAGTCTTTCTGGTGTCATTCAGTCGCAGCTTCTACTTGGTATCTCCTTGGCAGTGTTTACATTAAACGCTGTTATACTAATACATAATTTTTACATGAACAAAAAGGAAACTTATGCCTAAAGCTTGTATGCCACTGATTGCAACTACTGATTTCAGTAATAAGCATTAAATTTGGTAGGAAATATTTACACTATCAGGCTCCAAAATAGAAACTGTTTTTAATATTGCTGCTATACATACATTCAAGATATAATAGTGATTTGTTATGGTGAAGGTGATTTGTTATTGGAAGATATCCACTTTTCTGGGCAGTGTTAGTGTTTTGATGGATTTATAACACAGGATGCATTTTATCTTCTACAACAAAGTTTCTTTAGTAAGAAGTAAATGAGTCAGATAATCCTTTCAATCTGAGTTGATAATGAAGCGGTAAATATTCAACTTTCATAAGGAAAAGAATGTTTATATTTATGTACGTGTAGCTGTGTTTCTGGGCATATTAGAAACAGTGATCCTTGCTGTTTTATTACTGGCAATTATTTACAGATTTTGGCGTCCCACTGGTTCCAGGAGCTTTAGAATGTCGAGAGATGTCTCTCCTTTAGCTATCAGCAGCAAAAGAGGCAATAGGAGAGTAATTCTGTTGTTCCTATATACTGTAATTCATTTTTTCTAGACTTCCTTTAGTAGGAGACTAATAAACATAAAAAGAAAAGGGAGGGTTTATTCCTTTTTAAAGAACAACAGAAATAATTTATTCTTTTCAAATATGAATTTAATTTTCTTCAAAACTTGGCTTAGTTTTCTCAATTTCTTTTTTTTATTCAATTGGGCATTTACCTATTTTGCAAGATTTTTTAGCGAGCTCTGGAATAAGTCATCTAATTAAGTTTACCTGTACATGCACATTTTCTGTGTCCTATTGAACTTCTTAAAATGCTGTTTCCGGTCAGTGAGGAACTGAGATAATCCTTACAAGCAAAAATATGTATTATACAGATGTACCTTAAGTACATACTATGTACATATTCTTATAGTTTACATAGTCAGTGTTTGTAAAGTATTTCAATGCCATTTCAATGATGGCTGCTCCAAGGTCAGTACAGGTCTCATTTGTAAGAGACGGTATGGGCATATTTCTTTTACACAGATAAGTAAAATGACATTGTTCCGTTGTACTGTTTTTTCTTTAAAAAACAGTGAAAGAAAGATACATTTGTTTCTCTTTGGGTAAAGCATCAGGCACAGAGCACAGGACTGTACCTTCATCCCTTGGTGCACTCACTAAAGTTCAGAAGCCATATACATGCACACATCAGTGGGAATTACAGATAGCAATCTATATAGCTTCTACCTTCAACACTTTATCTGTAAAGCTTTTGCTTTCTGTCCTGGTTCATCTTTGTTGCCTCAATGTCTTGTCTTCCATAGGTTTCATCTTTATATAAATGAAAACCAGACAAAGCAATTTTGCATATCAGAGTTCAGTGGGTTTCTTACATGTAAATTTGTTGTAGGCTAAAACAGAGGTTGATTGAATCAAATGACAGTAGAAGTATCCATTCTTGTACAGAATGGAGTACGTGTGCCTTTTGATTTTAATAGGGCTCTTTTCTCCTCAGCTTAGAGAAACAGATGCAAACCTAGGGAAGAGCTCCAGGATCTTGACAGGAATGTTGCGAAGGTAAGGCCAAGGTAGGGACACTTCTCTCTTTCCTTTTTTCTCTCTCCCTCTCTACCTTTCTTTTTAGTTTTAATTCAACCTCAGCCTTTTACTGACTTGCCTGACTTTTTTTTTACACCAGCTGCTGTATAGAATTTCTTCAAATGAATGCTGATAATAAAGTAGGCATGGTTAGATAGAAGGTTTTATCACAGCTAAAGAAAACATTTTCTGTAGCCTGAGGGATTACCCCTTGCTCAATCATTTGTCATTTTGGTTTCTTTTTATTTGTTTTCTTTTTCATTCTGTTCTAAAATTAGGCTTTTCAATGATGATAGTGATTCTTGAGTGTTTTCAGGGCTTCAGTGTTTTCAGCTTTTTTTACATGTTAATTTTTATGAGAGAGAGTTTGTAAATGTGTTGGAACAGTGTAAATTTACACACAGAAAGAGTTAAAATGATCCATTCTGTTTGAACAGACTAGGAAGACACACTGTCAAACCTTGTGTTTTTAGCATATTTCTTCCAAGTTTTTAATGTTATGAAAATTGTCCCTGGGATTAAAGTTAGATGATGTGGGAATGAAAAATTTGCAGTTTTCTAAAAGTCTATCTGAGATTGCAGGGAGGGTTATCCAGTGATTACAAGCCACCTTGAATTTACATCATTGCTCTTCCAGACAGCCTTTTTGAATTAGTGACATCTCTGGATATGTATACTCTTTACTTAATAAAGCAGCACCCAAGTGTCTCTCTGATGTCCATGTTTCTGTGCTCTTATTCAACTTCCTAAAGAGGAAAAGCATCACTCTGATCAGTTGTATTGGATGCTATGAAACACATTTTTAAGGGACCTTGTAGAATCCTTGGAAGAATTCAGTATGAAATTACCTTTCCCAGGGTTTTTACATTGCATGTGTTTGCTTGATGCAATTTACTTAAAAAAAAAAAAAAAAGAAAAAGAAGTTTTAGCATAGTTTTTGATTTACCACTTGACTTGGAAAATATCAAAACCAGAATTTAGTAAGTTGTTCTTTAGTGCAAGCTTTGTCTCTTCATAAGTCTCCTCAGAAAAATAGCTTTGTTAGTTCCTTGTATACCCAGTTGGCAAAGGTTAAGATGACTGACCTTCATGCCTTCATTCCGCAGATTTCTTACAATTCCAACTCTGAACCGTAACATATAAAATTCTCTGATTAAGAGTAATATGTAAATGACACAAGCTAAATTCAAAATCCATGGAGAAAGGAAGTGGCAATTGAAAGGGATGGTTCAGTGCTTGTAGACAATCAAAATAATGTATAAAAAAAAGGAAAGAAAGAAAAGAAACAACCAAACCCAAGTCCCCCCAGGAAGGGCCCTGCGACATGAGCTGTAACGAATATTCTGCATATGTCTCCATTTTGTCAAATCTCATTAAAGGGGTTTCTTGCTTTATGTCAATTGAGCTGTCCAAAAATCATTCATCATTTTAGTGTAAAAAAAAAACATGCCGTTATTTAAATAACATCATATTAATGTTAAAGTTCAGCTGTCATTTAATAGTATGGCTTAATCAGACATAGCATTTAGGAAAAATAGTTTTTTCGGGCTTTACTTGGCTTTCAGGTTGGCAGATTCAAATAAGGATTTATGGGTTTCTAAACCAATGTATTCTTTCCATGTTTATGCTTGAGGTACCTCAGCCTTTTTTACAGCACCCTGTAGTCTGTTATTTTCAATAAAATAAAGTATCTCCTCATATTGTGTTTGAATACATTTGCAAGTAATTTAGAGAAGCTGAAACAAAAACATATGCTGTAACCTTTGACTTTGTTTTGTATTTGGGAGTCACAGTTAGGAGTCCTAGTTTACAAGTGTTCCATAAGCCAACTGAAAAATACAATCTTTCTGGAAATGTACTTGGGTTCTTATTTTCAGACAAGAGGATTATGCAGTCAAGCACCAACATGGCATGTTTCTGTATGTCAGAAGGGCACTGGATTTCCTTTTTCTATGGCAAAATTGCTAAGCTAAGTCACCCATCTGGATGAAAGGCACATTAGGATTTAGGTTCGGTTGAGATATTTAACTGATGTACGTGCAGAAAGAAATTCCTAGGCGTAGGTGCAGCTTGCAGTAGAAGATTTCCAGCACGTTATTTAAAAACATGCAATAGGCAGACTCCTCGGTGAATTTAATTTATTTCATGACTGTTGGGTAGAAATATCCAGCATTTTCCCAGCTTCAGCAGCTCTCAAATACTGTTCATTCACAAGAATAATCATAAAATACAAAGCCCAAGAAATCAGCACAAGTTAGATAATTCATGTAGAATATAAGAAAAATAATTACCGCAAATTGGCAGTTGTGTCCTAATTCTGCGTACTTCACTAAGTACCACACAATATTTCACTTTAATTAGTGGAACCAATAAAGAACAATGGTGAATGACTATACTTCACATAGTTATTATATGGAAAAGGTAATGTTAAGTCAAACATTGTTCAACTTAGTTGTGGAACTCACAAATACATTTGCAGATATTCTTGAAGTTTTATGCCAGACTAACCCTATGCATCAAATTAATGCCTAGCTACTTCTGGTTTTACTACCTGAGAAAGGTAAACCAGCATTTCTTTTGAATGGAGCCAAATATATTGGTTAGATATTTAGAAAGGCGGGATTCTTAATGAGGCCTAAATGCCCTGGTCATGTATTTGTGTGTGAAAATTATGCTTGTTCTAGAGGTGGGGAATAAAAGTGGGGACAGGCTTTGTGTGTTGGTGTAGCTCACTCAGGAAGTCCATAGTAGAATAAGGACAGATCTTCCTACCCTTGTTTGTTGCTCTAGCAACTTGAAGTAGCCAGGTTTATGTATCAGAATTTGTTATCTGCCAGTATTTTGGGTATTTGTTTAAGGAGATTTTTTAGAACAAATGTTTTAAAATGTTCTCACTTTGAAATGTCTTTTCCCTACCTTCTCAAATGTACATATTTTTCTGTACATAAACCTACTGAGACTCCTGTAAACTAGTATATTCCACTTATGGCACTTCATTACTAGGATGATATCAGCATGTTGATAGGAATTTGTGAAAGTCTGTCAAACCAGTGAAGGAAAGTACAGCAAAAATGGAACATTAATCATTTCCTTTTACATGTATCTAGAGCTCTGCACATCCTGACATATTTTATGACTTCCGTTTAAAATTGTGACACTATAATAGAAGCTCAGTATAGTTTCAATCACAGAATTTTCAAATAATAGATCCTAACATAAGGAAACGACATCTTCCACAGTCATCTGCGATGTTACCATCTAAGACATCTATCCCTTGGCCTCTACTCCACTATGAATTAGGGAGCGCACGGTGTGTTAGAAACAGGCAGAGGAGAATATTTTCTGAAACCTATTCTGTCTTTCAGAAATGAATATCTCTTTTGCCCATATCCTAAGCCAATAGCCTAGAAAAGCTTTTAAGAAAGGAATTTGGACAGTCTCCAAGCCACATACAGCCCAGTGGGAAGCAAACAAACGTAAAAGTAACCATATAAAAATTTCAGTAAATTTGAATTTTTATCCCATTAGGAGATAAATTCCACCTATCCCCCCTGCAAACAGCAGTAAAATATTTTAGAAAAATATCTGCTGCCCTCCAGAATAACATTTTATTCTGTCTGGCTCAACAAGAATTTCTGATGCCAAAACTCTTATCTTCTATCTCCAGATTTTCGTCTTCTAAGTTGTTATACTTGATGCATTGCAAAGCTCATGAACACATCTGCTCTTATAAAAGGGACTTTTAAAAATTTAATTTCAGATGGGACACAGCCACTAGCTCCAGCTGATGGAAATGAAACAATAAGTATTCAGCTCTCAGGTGATAAATTATATGACCTGCCAACATCTGCATGACCACTGTGACTACAACTAGAACCAGGGAATGCCTCCCCCTCCATGCTAATTGTGTTCAAGCTTCTTCAGGCTTCTTTCTAGGAAAATTCTGGTAGTCCAACGTCCTACATTGCTTGTAGTCAAACTTCCTTGTACCTTTGCACTCCAAAGGTTTCTGGTCACCACAGTTATTTTTCAACATTTCAGAGAGACATAGGATAATTTAGATCAGAAGGGACCTCTAGAGATCATCTAGTCCAACCTCCTGCTCAAAGCAGATCTAATCAGGTCAGGGTGCTCAGGGGCTTGTCTGTTTAAGTCTTCAACATCTCCAAGGTTGGAGAGTCTGCAGCCTCTGGGCAACCTGTTCCAGTAGTTGATCACCCTCACAGTTAAGAAATTATTCCAGGTATCTAACTGAAATTTTTCCATGGTGCAGCTTGTGTCCATTGCCTCTAATTCTAAGCATAATTGATTGAAAACATAAGTATTTTAAAATCCAGCTTTGGGGTTTGGACTTGGATTGCACTTGTTCCTAGCAGTTCTCAAATGACTTCAGCTGATGTGAAAAGGCTTCAGTGGTCATAAGACAGAGATAAAATTCTGTGTAAGGAAATTCTGTAAACAAACTGCAAGACGCTCCACCTCCATCCATTGACCTGGTGGGATGGTGAGGCAACAGTGGATGCATAAGGAATTTTTTGCTTTCTCACACTTTGTTTCTGTAAAAAGTTAATTATAGTCTGTTCTGCCTTCTTTCTTGGCTGCCAAACCCACATTTCCATATACAGAACAACAGCAGGCAAGACAGTCATGTCTCTGTTGAGACAAACTGAAACAAATAGTGAAAGTGTTATCACTTTCTTCCTTATTTCCTTACCAATCTCTTTTTCCATCTCAAAAGATCCATAACAATAAAATTTTTTTCTGAGCTAAAGCCTACTTCAATATCAGTCATGCAAAGCCGTAACTTTTGAGTTTTCTTGTGGAAGATCTTCCTGTAGCAGATACTGAGAGAAGCTTAACATGCAGTTAGATTTGCCTTGTTTTTATGCTAATAGAGAAATTCCTCTTTCCAGCAGGAACTTTACATGTTTGGTCTCAAGCCAAAAGGACTTTGAGTAGAAATTGTTTCAACAGCTTTT